GGAATTTGAAAACCCTAAATTTATTCGATAACTGCTATAACTAATGCTGAAACTACGATAGTAGTCGAATTTATTGTGGTGGGTTGTCGTTTGTGGTTTCATCTTCCAACCTTTTGTTAATTTCCAGTTTTAATTTTGATTTTATTACTGAACACATTCATGCTTCTGTATTGTTCTATAATAAGAGTTAATAATGTCCTCTAGTTACGTTGCAGTGGTTAAGAGTTTGAATTTATATGTTTGAGTTATTGAGTTCGAACATGGAATAGGTGGGGAGGAGTTTAGGGAAGCCATCCCTGTTGTATATCCATCATCCAAACAAAAAAGGAGGCGGCGGGGGAGAGGAGAAATAAGAGCTAGTGTTGCTGGGTATTAGTGCGGGTGTTAATCTGGGTTTTTACTTTTATGTTAAATTTACGCTCTTTTTCTCTTTTTTAATCTTACCTGAAAAACTTGTTTATAGTTTTTTTTTTTTTGGGGGGGGGTAGATTAGAGTTAAGCACGTTGCAACATTACACTACTTTTAAGTGTCAGTGGTATGTTTAGGTGATAAATTTGCTGATGTGGATTCCTTTCATGCAGGGTAGTTTTGAATTGATGGTTGTTTAGCTGACAATTCGAAGGTAGGGACCTATCTTGTGCTTTCATAAGGTATGGAAGCTGGGGACATGATTAAGCTTCCATCTCCTAGTCATTCTGGCTCTGGAAGTGAGAGCGGTGAAATTTGTGATTCTGGCAATTCTGCACCTCATGAAGCTGATTCTCAACCAACTAATTGTGAGGCTAAACATGAAAAAATAGTAGGGGAAAAAATAGGACTTGATGGAAATGCTCACAGCCACGTGGTAGAAACAGGGCAAGGCCATACTTCTGCTAATGGTTCATCTATCCAGCAATTGAGTATTGAAATGACTGAAACTATTAGAGTCAAGGAAAAATTGGATGGGTTCACCTCTGAAGTGCATTCTGAAACAGATAGAGTCGAAGAGAAATTAGATAACCCAAACTCTAGAATGCAAGCTGATGATCTTCTAATTGTTCAAAACGAGAGTCCCATCCAGAACACTATGATGGATGATACTCGTATCCTACTTCCTATTTGTTTTCTGGAGTTATTTTTAATTTTTCTTTCAAATTCGCAAACTCTATGGACAGGCAAAAGGGTTCATAATCTGTTGTCCAACATCAATAAATGAAATTGTGTATTCAGTTTATGAAGAGATGTTTGTTTTCCATAATCAAGTTCAACCTGCCAGCTATGCCTGATGTTAAGAGTGTGAGGATGACAAATGATGACCACCAACCTTCCATTTATGTTATGTATAGCTCCTTAACAAGGTTCGGACTGGAGTAAGGGTATTTACGTTGAAAACAAATGGAAATGAGTTTTCATGTTTTAATTTCTTCTTTAATTTTTTATTTAAAATATTTACTATAGGACTTATTAAGGATATCATGTGCCTGTTGGGAAGCTATTTTGGAGTACTTATTGCATCTATTCGTAGTAAATCCTTTTACCTTTTTCAGAGCTAGTAAACGGAAGCTTGAGGAAGTCTTACAGCAGTGGTTAAAGTGGCAAGTTGAACATGATTCTCTAGTAAGTGTGATCTGTAAAAACTGTCTTTTGTTCTTTCTTTAGTACCCTTTCTTTCCTCTGAAGATCCTATGTGTCTGAGTTTCTAATCCCTTTTGATTGTATCACATGTTTACATTTTTGTTTCTTGAATTGTCTCATCCATGGACAGTGGAGAAAACTTGTTTTAACTGTTTAACTGGATAATAAATAGTTTATGTAGTTAAAGGGAGTTTGTGTGCATTCTTAATTTTGTATATCAGTTTGATTCTGCAGTAATTACCTTTAAGTCCCCCAAAGTCTTCCACTGCAATTAGGACTGACTTTGTTTGCTTGTGTTGTTTGTGTGGCTGCAGAGCATAATATATAATGTGTTTATGCTACAATTAGTTGTATTTATCATCCTTTATGCAATCTAACCCTAAATTTAATCTGTTCAGGATGAGAATGAAGTCATAGAGTCTGGTGAAGAAACATATTTCCCTGCTCTACAGGTTGGTACTGAGAAGACCTCTGCTGTGGTAAGTTTCTTTTTCTGTCTCCCTGACTTGTGGACCTAGATCATTAATTATGCATTTTAGCTGTGTTTGGAACAGTTTCTAGCTGATATCGGACCTTTCACTCAAATTAATTTATTAGCTGTGTCATTATGTAGACTACATCATAATGAACCTCTTTTTCTTTTTTCCCTTTTTTTCTTGGGGGGATGGGGGCAGGATTTTGATTATATATCTCTATCACTGGTATCACATTACAATTCTTACCATCTTTCCAAAGAAGATCTTTTTAATAGCTCTTTTGTGGTTTTCATTTCTCAAGGCTTGCATTTTCAGTTACAAGAAAAAGATTCTTTGTTTTTTTCATCTCCCTGTAGTCCTTCTGGATAGACAGCCAAACAAGCAATGAGCATGAGAAGGAGTTCATCCCTTTGGATGGTAAAACTGTACCTCTTTATGATCGTGGTTATGCCCTTGGTTTGGTTTCAGCAGATGGTTCAAGCAATTTGGAAGGGTAATGTTATTCTGTCTGGTCTTTGGCTCTCTCATATTGGATGAATATAGAACTCAGTTACAGACAATAGTTAAGGATATATAGATGTGTTACACGTCTTGGCCTTTCTAGGTTATAACAGCTTCCCTTTTATGTCTACTGAGAAGTATGATTTGTTTTTCCTGCATCTACAAGTATGTGGGGTTAAATAATATGCAGATGTTTGATTTGTTTTATAATTAATCTCATTGATAATATCTGTATCTTAACCATTGCTAATCTTTACTGGGATATAAGATCATTTGGTGAATAGCATGCTCCTTTTGATATAGTATCTCTACCTTCTACTAGTTAACTGCAGATGCAGTTTGTTACCAGCTTAGCCTTCTACTTCTGTATTTGGGTATTCTGTATGTTGCATGGTTTTGTAACTGTTAGTGCTGCATACTGCAGGGGCTCGGAGATAATAGCAGATGCCAGCAGATGTTTCAACTGTGGTTCTTATAGTCATTTAATGAGGCAATGCCCAAAGCCTCATAATAATGCCGCTGTCATAAAAGCTAGAAAAGAACACAACTTTAAAAAAAATCAGTGTGCCGGTTCTCACAATCCTATTCGTTATTATCAGAACTCTCGAGGTGGAAAGTTTGATGATTTAAAGCCAGGTTCTCTGACAGCTGAAACACGACTACTTTTGGGTCTAGGGGTAGTGTTCTGAAAGACAAATCTTCTTTCCATGGTATTTTATGCTCGATATTTCATCAAATTTCAGTGCTGAAATTCTCAATTTGTTGTTGCAGGAGTTTGATCCACCCCCTTGGCTTAACAGAATGCGTGAAATTGGATACCCACCTGGATATCTAGGTAACTAGTTTGGTTGCATTTTTTTTTTTTTTTTCATCCTATTCACCATCTCATCTGCCGCACCTTATTTTCTCTTTGTTGGCTTCCATTTATCCATATTAAAGCTTATTATGCCTGCTCAAGTTAGGCTTAAAGCTAGTACTTCGCTGCTGGATGACCTATTAGTTGGGGTTGAACTTATTATTTTGAACAATTAAAAACCTTCTAAAATGGGTTAATTTGATCTTCATCATCTTACTTAAAATTTATTTTGGACATATCCAGCTCTAGATGACGAGGATCAACCATCTGGAATCACAATATACGCTGATGGGGTGATCGATGAAGGACAGGAAGAGGGGGAAATATCTGAGATGAAAGATTGTGCTGTTGAAAGTGAGCCTCCTAATAAAAGGAGTAAAATGACAGTAGAATTTCCAGGGATAAATGCACCAATTCCTCAAGAAGCAGATGCAAGACATTGGGCACCACCTGCTCCTTTAAGTTCTGATCCATCTAGGAGTAATTCACCCCAAATATCAAATCTTTATCCACAAGATGGCAGCAGAGGATACCATCTGGAACAAAGGTGGTATGGGAATTTCAGAGATGATGGACCTCCTGGAGTTGACCCTGGATTTAGTCTTCCTGTGTCTTTCACTCCAAGGTATAGCAGTGACAAGTTTCAGAGTCCTACCATGACAAGGTCCGAATCTGAATGTGGGTAGGAAATCCACACCTTATTAAAACTGTTACTCTTTCGGTTCAATTTTACCCTATTGCTTTTTTATTTTTTCAATAAAATACAATATAATAATTGATTGACAAAATTTCACTACTTAAATAATAGTGCTTATTACTCTTATAATACGTATTCTAATTATACTCTTTAAATATAAATAAAATAATAATAAGCTAAACATATTAAATAATATTTTAAAGTAAAAAATTAAGTAAATAAACTTAAATGTGTCAAAGTAAAATGTTTAACAAATAAAGTTAAATAAAGATAATAATTTATTATAATTAAATTAATTTTAATTAATATTTTATATATTTTAACACGATACAAAAACTGTTGCAGTAGAGTGTAAGCAAGTTCTTAATATAATTTCTTCTTTTTGATTTATACAAAAAGGGATAACCTTTCCCTTTTTCTAAATCTCTTCCTTTTGAATTTAAGATTTAAACTTGAAATCTCTAATTTAAAATTTAAAATTCTTAATTATTAAACAACTCATTGGGTAATTTCTTCAATTTGTTTGCAGTATGTAAAATTGCAGAAAAAAAAAAAAAAAGGGTTTCGATGTGTTTGGGTTAAGTTGGGCTCTTTGATAGTTTTATCAGGCTGAACATGTTAGTTTTATTGGGTCTCAAGTTTAAGCCCAAGCTCAAGTTTAATGGATTTCAGGTTGTTAAGATATGTTCATGTCAGCCCAAGTCACTGAATCTTTCAGCGGATAATCGTACTCGCCGCCGTCATCATCGTCCCCTCTTCCTCTTCTCCGATGTGTTCACTGCAACTACATCCGCCGCATGCTCTCTCTTCGAGAATCTATTCCCCGGCAAAGTTCTTTAGCATCCCTACTACTCTCAACCATAATCGTAAGTCAAGATTGAGGGCAACGTTGTCGTTCGTCGAAGAATTTCCCCCAAATGCCAATCGCCGGCAGAGCGATCCGCAATGGAAAGGAGGCTTCAGTCTGGGAATAGACTTGGGGTTATCCCGCACCGGTCTTGCCCTCAGCAAAGGCTTCTCCTTTCGTCCTCTTACGGTAATTGAGTGGATAAAGTGCTTTCAAAGTTTTTACTCCATTTTAAACCCTCTACTCATTTTAGCTACAGTTTCTGTTTCTAGGTTTTGAAATTGCGAGGAGAAAAGCTGGAGCTACGGCTTCTTGATATTGCGGAAAAGGAGGTATAAATTCCTTGATTCATTCATTAATTAAGCTTAAATTGAAGATTATATTCAAAATGGGTGCTTTGTTCACAAATTTTAGGAGGCTGATGAATTCATAATTGGACTTCCCAAATCTTGGGATGGAAAGGAGACTCCTCAATCCAACAAAGTTCGCAGTGTTGCTGGAAGACTTGCGGTCCGAGCTGCAGAAAGGTGAATTAGAGATAAAAAGATACTGATTTCTATTTTCTTACTGGTGATGGGAAATCTCAATCCTAGATGATATTGAACCTTAGTAGTGCATGTGTAGCCTAATTCTAGGAACACTCACTTTTTGCGTTTAGATACAGGCTATTGGTCATTGTTTTTTCTTAATTCCATCTCTCAATTTAACATTCAGAGGTTGGAGAGTGTACCTGCAAGATGAGCATGGGACGTCCACTGAAGCCTCAAGCCTTATGATCAACATGTAACTCCATCTCCCATTATTGAGTAGCTATTTAATAGGATCTTTTGTTTCATTACTTTTACCATAGTTGTTCTTGTTCCTTGTACGAGTCATGTTTGATCCATTCCTATGGTGCAAAAAATTGGTTTATTATGCCTATGGTAATCTCAGAAAATTGGATGCTTGCCATTTTGCTTAGCGGTCTTCCTTGTTCGTTGGATTTTTTTGTTATGTTTACTTCTCCTCAAGCAAATACTGAAAGAAATTTAAATTTTTTTTATAATGCATTGGTGTTTTTTGTTATTTGTTTGTTATTTGTAAGATCTATTATGCTTTTTCTCTTTGCTTTTCTCTGTAATAAATAAGTGATAACATGCCATGCCCTTTTCTATTCTTGAGTTCTGATGAGTAAATGAAAATTCCTCATCATGAGTCAGGCGTATATAAAGTAAAGCACAAATTCTAGATAGGGTAAGGATTCCCCTGCCTGGTTGATGTCATAACTTGAAGATATAATTCTCTCACCATTCTTTCAGGGGTCTACGCAAGTCTGCCCGGCAAAGAAGCACAGACGCGTACGCTGCTGCAGTATGTTATCATGGATTCTATGTTTTTGTTTTATTAATCCATATTGTGGATTAAGAGATTGATTGTTTCTTTGTTTTCTTTATTCTTCTCTATGCAGATATTACTAAAGAGATACTTTGCAGCATCAGGCCAAGGAACTGAACTAGTTTTGCCCAAGCAAATCGATTTGCTGGAAAAACTTAGGAGGGGTGTAACAGAGGAGTTTGATTCTTTTTAAGATAATAAAGACAATTGACCCAAATAAAATCTTTGTTATCAGTTCTGGTGTTATATTTAATAATAGTATCTTAAATATATGGATTTAAAAATCAT